GTTGTTTGTATAATATATGTATTCGGGTCATGACTCCACTTTACGGTTTCCGTTAATTGCTCGAAACTTAGTCTCCACCGTTCCGACAACGTGCGTTATACCTATGTAGATATTATGTCGACAACCACAGTCGAATATTTATAAATTTATCGAATATCTCCATTTTGCAATGACAGTCGGTAATAGTGTAATAATTAATGATGTGCAATAATACATTAGGTCTAAGTTGTTAACTTCGTTAGGTATTAATTGTAAATTAACACTAAATATGTTAATTTAATACATGCAAGCAGCCACACACACACACACACATTTATAATATTGTATGTAAGGTGCCTGGATAGTGGCTCGGTGGTTGGTCTCAGTCACTAACGTGTTCTGAGTTCAAGCATCGGCAGGCGTCGGTAGTTTCCCGATGGCCGATGGGTGACCACCCGGGTTTTTAGTACTAAGTAAAAGTGATTTTTAACTTACACAAGTTAAACATAATACTATGGTAGTTATCGTATTAGTATTCTATACTAATGTAATATACTGGTGGCTCTGACAGCTACTAGTATATTAACAGTTGCAGGCAACTAGACCTTTTCCTGTGAAGATGAGGTAGTCGTTGAATAATAATAACACAAATGCCAAAATTATATTGTTGTTTATTAAGTTCCAACAATCACAATGGTGCTAAGTCCAAAAATGACAATCGTTATATGGAGCTGCGTGAAGGTGCTTGCAGTAGTCCTGAGTAGACACGTCTGAATACAGACCGTTTCGGGGTCCCTCTTGTAGTCCGGTCCCCGCTCACCTTGCTTAGTGATACCGTATATTGGCTCTAACGGATGTGGCCATCGACCTAACCCACGCACTTGCGAAATTCCTAATCCATACTGCGTATTATTATGATGTACTGTCAGATAATTTGTGACTGTAAATTTCATTATAAATCATACTATTTTTTATATTGAAATTCTCTCATATAACGCTATCGCATTTATCACATCCGCCTATTCTACATGATTGCAAAGTCGTGCTATTCTATTGTGGTATTATTTTGAATATCGTTTCTCCTTGAGCCTTACATTTATTAATCGCAAAGTTCGTTTTTGGCGTTATACTCCCCATGGTTTCTTTGATTAAGTACAACCAAAAAAGGTTAGCTAGTTTCTATTTGATATATCTGACCATTACCTATCTACAGTATATTATGTTAAATATGTTTCCTGTCGAAATTTAAATGTTGCGTAGTAACTCGCTTACTACACTAAATATAAATATTAATATCGAAAGTGATGTTTTGAATAACAATTTTTATTAATGTATTAATTTATATTCACTCAATATGAATGATAAATTCACTGACCAAATAAATTAATTCTTTTGACTCAAAATTATGGTTATGTATAAAGTTTTGTAATTTTAGGATTTTGTTATTATTGTGTAATGGTTCTAACTTCTAAGTAATTTTATATACAATTCAAACTTTGAGCAATATTTTTTATTAGATTTGTATTTTATTTTATGTTATTGGTTTTTTTTTTATTGTTTTATTACCTATATTATTTGGTTCAAAATATGAGTTTCTTTCAGTTATTTGTTAATTTGTTTTTCAACAATACTTCTTTATTTTATGCTACGGGATATAGAAATATTTATTGTTAAAAAAGTAGACGTTGATAAAGTGGAAAAAAAACTCGTTATGAAATCACCTTGAGTTTTGAAAGATGTATTTTGTCTGAAAATTTATGGATTCGATCGTGCGTCTCTTGCATTTCAATATTATTACATTTGACAGGGATAGGAAGTCACCAGCTACAGAGCCCCGTCGTATGAATCTCAGATTTATGGGTTCATGTCTTATTTGCATTTTAATACTACCGGCAGGTAACTTTTGACCATAGTATTTCTTATTTTCATAATAATAATTTATGTAAGTACACAGAACAGTTGATTTATGTTTTCATTTTTTGTTTGTCAATAATCATGATCGGGAATTGCAAATTTATTGAGTCAACGAGGGTCGAGGAGTGACTAGAACTAAGTACAAGAAAATGCTTTTGTAGTCCTTGTTTTTGAAGGTAGACTTACTGTGTTTATTTTATTACACTATTATAAAACATTGTCATCTGGTAGACCGTTCATAACTTTTGAAATGTTAAACTACCTACACGAAATTATTTTAACTGTGAATTAATTAAATGTATCATAAAATGACAAACTTTGTAGATACACATTTGAAATGGTTGCCATTTTATGCTCGTTTTATGTTATCATTGAAAAACAAATAATAACACAGTGTAATATTATGATAACTAATATGTTTTACAATACTCAGAACATGTACAATTTTTTTTTGAAAACCTACCGGATATCATTTAAATGTGACCTCCCATTATGGTATATATTTTATAACAATTTTTAATAAGCATAACGCTATAATATATTATGATTCAACATGCATAATGCAACATGTTTGATGACATTCTCTTACAAAATCATTAAGTATTTGTATTTATTTATTTTATTTTATTGACACCATGTTTGGAATTAATTCATATATACATTGATTTCAATAGTACCTTGAACATGTAAAATACAAATTTAAAACTATAAATAGTAATAATAGAAATGGTGGTGGAATCTGATATAGACAAAGCTGAAGTGAGACCACGTAACATTTTGTGAAAAGGATCGCAGTTGAGTTCATTGCTAGGAAGTCTGGAGGTACATGATGGTAAGGAAATTTATATAAGAAATAATTTCTAATGTTGTGGTTGGCTCCTAAGAGAAACAAAGGAGAGTATGTCAGGATTATATATACTTTTACATTGTAAGTATAATATATATATTTATATAAATTATATATGTATGTATTGGAAAATATTTTATAAAACTATTCTTATTTCTTATTATTTGTATGAAGTATATCAGGTATTAGAGTTTAATATTATACATGTCTAAGTCGTAATATGTATTATCACTAAAAATGGTGTTATAACAGATATTTTGGTATTTGTAGTTTTCGTCACTACGTTTTGGAAAAATGACAACAAAACCGGTATCTTGGTTGTTTTTAAATTGTAAGTACAACTTTTTATCTACATGTCCCCCACCCTATCATTTTTAAGCCGATATCCTGTTGAAATTATGTCAGACCATGGACTGACTGACATGACCAGTAGTTTTGACTATGGCGCTATGTATTTCAAACTATTGTGTATAAAATGTATGTGTATATTATAATGTACTCAATATACTGTTGTTTTATGTGTGCTATTCTCTTATTTAATATTACCTATTACAGTACAAAATTGCCAATTATTATAATATATACATTCATATACTGGTTGTATTAATTTTGAACGATCGACGAGGTAAACTTAAATCAATTTATTCATGGACCAGTATACTCTGAAACTTGGCATGTAACTCTGCTCTCTTTGATGTAGGTACAGAAAACTATCAGGTATAAACTTGAACGCCAAGTAATGTTCAACAGTGTTGCGACTTATCTAGTAAATATCATTATATATATTATCTTATCTAGATAAAAATCTACTGGTCATATTTTGATTTGTCTTAGATGAAAATTGCAGTTATGTATATTAATTTATCTATATAATTTTGTATATATATAGACATTTGTTTAATATTATAGTAAAATATACATTTTTACATTTCGAATTCAAAACCCATACTTATGTGATTTAATAGATGGTTATAGTACTTTTAAATAGTAAACCCGCTTACAGGAGACGGTGACAGGAATGGATGATGGCAGTTGCAATAATAATCGAAAATTGTTGTTGTAAAATGATGTTTTTATTGAAATGCAAGGTAGATGTCACAAGACAATTTGAAATTTATTACATTATTTAGACTTTTCGGATCGACGAACATTGCTGGTACGTTAGAAAATAACCAATTGCTCGAATACTTTCTAAGTCCCAAAAAACGTCGTTATCTGAAATAATCTAAGTCCCGAAAAACGTCTGAAATAGTCTAAGTCAAAAGAAATAGTGATTCACAGAGGTCTAGTACAAGAGTGCTCGTACGCGAAGTGTGGAATTACGTCTGAGGATGGGCCGTTTTGGGTACCCCTATATAGTCCTGTCCCTTCTCATCACTTGTCCATGGCGGCCTGTGCCACCTTTTCCCATGATCCGTGTGATCGCCCTCCATAATTGGATGGTTGACTATACTCATAGTGCATGTGCTGATCTATGACTCAGGGTTGAAGATGTGCCTAATGCTGGCTATTAGTTCTATGATCGTATCGTTACTCGCGTAGTCTTGTCACAGTGCCAAGCCCGAATTCATATAACCTACTACCCGCCGAGGATTTCCCACAGTTGTCTTACTAGCTCTAGTGATCACCCGTTCTGTCATCTGACAGTTGTCAGATGCTGTGACTATTGCTTATAACTAGAGTTAGGATGTTTATGACTTTTGCATATTTTTTCTTTTAGTCGTACACATTTCAAACCTAGTAATAAATTCGTTTCGGTTGACATAGAATCAGATACATTCAATTTTATATTGCATATTTTTGCATATTTAAGGATTTTTATGAATAAATGCATATTTTGAAAAAAATTGTAAATAAATGCATATTTTGCCCAAAAATAACTTAAATATAATATAAATATCAATACAAAATTTATTTCGTAAAGGTATTAGATACCTATGTGTAATCATCCAAACTAAAAGTACTCCAGACAAAACGAGGTTCACCAGAGCTATTATAAGATATCCAAAATTAAATCACTTAATATTTTTATTTTTTTTTACTATAGGTAAGTATATTTTATAATAATATAATAGAGAAAATAATAATAGTGACCAACAAACATCAAAGGTATAATTTTAACTTTTAAATATTATTGGTTATAAAAGAGTTAATCATATTTTAATGAAGTTAATTATACATTGAATACAATTGTTTATAATATGAATATAAAATAGGTAATACGTTTATAATATGTATGTAATATGAATTGTCTGGAGTGTTAGGCAAAATCGAGTGTGATAACCAGATTTTGTTCGTGTTCATATAATTTTACACCTGATGCATTAAACATTTCTTTAGTGGCTCGATCTTCCTCTTTACCGTTTTTCGGATTCTTCAAATACACTACGTCTTTGATACCCGACTGAATAATAATTTTTCCACATTCAATGCACGGAAAACGAGTTGTATACAAGGTACAATCTTTTACATTAATCATAGAGCTTTTATAAAACACAGCATTCATTTCAGCGTGGCATACTGAAAATATGAATGAGGATCAATTAATGTATTATTTGATTAGCATGACATAGGATAGTTATAAACATTATTACTTACCATAAATAAATTTGTTTGATTTCGATGACTTACCCCACGGAAACTCATCATCGTTACATCCGGTAGGCATTCCATTATATCCTGTGCCTACAATTTTATTGTCCGAGTTAACGATACAAGCACCAACTTGACATACAGGATCTTTACTACGTTTAGAAGTCAAATATGCTATAGCCATAAAAAGATTACCCCCACTTAAATCAGCTACCGGCCTATCTAATTTGGCATGATGAAAAAAATCAATTTTAATATTCTCATTTGGCGTGTGTTCTCTGATTTCAACACCCGATGCATCAAACATCTTTTTAGTGGCTGGTTCTTTGTATGATTTTGGATCTGGCAAATACACTACTTCTTTGATACCCGATTGAATAATTATTTTGGCGGTTTCACTACATGGATAGAGAGATACAAATATGGTACAGTTTTGTAAATTTATAGAGTTTTTATTAAGTATAGCATTTATTTCAGCGTCACATTCTGAAAGTAAAAATGAGAATCAAATGTATAATTTTATCAGTGTAACATGAAGAGGTAGTAATATAAACATACAAACATTAACCATTTTTACTTACCAAAAAAATTAGCATATGTATGATTAATAAATGTTTTATTGTTACATCCAGTAGGCATTCCGTTATAACCTATGCCTACGATTTTTTTGTACGTGTCAACAATACAAGCACCAACTTTTTTTTAAAGATCTTTATTGCATTTGGCTGTCAAAAATGCAATGGCCATAAAAAGATCATCCCAGCTTAAATAATCTTTACGCTTTCTAAACGAATATAGTACAATTTACAATATCAATAACTTTCATTACATTGTATAATTTATAATCTTACTCATTTAAAAATTTCTTTTGCTCAATACCACTAGTGTTATTGGCTATAATATCATCATCGAAATCTGTAGTTTCATCAATTGAACTAATTTGAGCTTCAGATTCATCAGCATTTTTTTTAGCTATAAAATTATTTTGATATTTAATTTTTTTAATTGTGTGGCTTGTAACCCTGAATGATATATCACCATTTTTTTATTTTAAATTGAGTTTTACAATGTATATTCAAATTAAAAAAAAAAGGTGGGCAAGTGGGTGTCTCTCTCCTGTGCTGTACAGTAGGTTACAAGTGGGTTACTGTAATGGATGGTGTTAATTTTGAATTCAATGATATAATATCATTGTATAAGAAAAACTATTCTGAGTGAAGACGGTCACTGGTCAGTCGGTCTATGATATTACTAAGTATAATTGATGATATTATTGTGAATAAAGTAATTTATATATAATATATATCCTATTTACGTGGAACCTTGTTTTATTTTTCAATCCTTAGATATAAAAGTTGAAAATTTTATAAATTTTTAACTATAGAATAATTATTAAATTTTGTCGAAATTTGAACTTTAAATGCTAACAAAAAAAATTTCACACATTTTTACCCAACAAATACAATTTTATTGACAATTATAGAAAAAAAAAATCTAGGAGTGACTCTGTCCGCAAAGAGCTCAAAAAGAGTCAAAATAATTTCAAAATTTTATCGTGTATAGAAGATGAAAATATAAACAATCAATGAAATTTTCATGTATCTATAGTTAGGTATTCGTTTTTGAATTATAATAAAATAAGAAATTTCTCACATGGGAAATCGAGTGAATATTATCGAATGTTGAAAAAATTAGAATTTTAAATGCTCATAAAAATTTAATTTGACTTTCTTATAGACATTTTTTTTTTGATAAAGGTAGGTAACCTCATTATAGATCTTGTTTTACATTTTTAATTTTACATTTTAAAAGAAATGTTTTTCTGAATTTCTAACTCAAAATAACTTGCACATTTCCGTGAATTGTATGTATTTTGTCAATATTTGAACTTAAAATGCTTTTGAAAAAAATTTGTGACAATAGATTTTCAATATTTTTCATTTGTTTTTGAAACAATATATTAGGGCCTTCTATTAAATTTTCAATCTTTTTTATCAAACAAATAACATTTTATTGACAATCATAGGAAAAAAAACTAAAAAAAAGGTGGGTAAGTGGATGTCGCTCTGCTGTACAGTAGGTTACAAGTGGGTCACTGTATAATTGATGCTATTAAATTTGAATTCAATGATACAATATCATTGTATAAGAAAAACGATTCTGAGCGAAGACGGTATGTCAGTCTAGGTTAAGACAAATTATATACATATCTATGGTATTAAAAAAAATTGACCTATAATAAATTCCAAATTAATCATATCACATTATCACAATATCCATTAGGTACTAATAACACGTTATACACCAACAACAAACCCTGATACTATCATATATATATAATAGTACACTTTAGAAGTTTCAAGTAGGTACCCACGAATAATATTATATAATCACAACAAAATAACTAGGTTTTTTAATATGTAATTTCGTCAAAATTTGAACATAAAATGACTATAAAAATAAACTGTGATTGTATATTTTTTAGATTTTTCGGTAAGAGAATTAACTACTTACGTGAAATCTTGTTTTAAATTTTCAATCCTTAGCTATAAAAACTGAACATTTTATAATTTATTAATTACGATGATTAATAATTTTCGAGATTTTGAAAATTCTGTCAAAATTCGATGTTAAAATGCTTATAAAAAAAAATTGTGCCTATGTATTTTTAATATTTTTCAACTGATATTGTAACAATATATCAGGAGCCTTGTATTAAATTTTTACACTTTTTGGCCCAACAGATAAAACTTAATTAATATTTATAGAAAAAAAAAACTAAAAAAATTGAAAACTGAAAATGTCCGTAAACGGCTCAAAAAGAGTCAAAATATTTTCAAAATTGTATGGTGTATAGGAAATGCTAATATAAACATTCAGTGAAATTTTCATGTATCTACAGTAATTCGTTTTTTAATTACAACAAAAAAAGGAAATTGCCACATGAGAAATCGAGTGAATATCCAATGTTGTAAAAATTTGAATTTCAAACGCTCATAAAAATTTAATTTGACTTTCCGGTAGAGATTTTTTTATTGATAAAGGTAGACAATCTTATGAGTAATCTTGTATTAGATTTTCAAATCTTAGATTTAAAAAGAAAAATTTTTACGAATTCTTAACTCAAAATAATTTGCTAATTTTCGTGATTTTTCCATATTTTGTCAATTTTTGAACTTTAAATGCTTATAAAAAAAAATTGTGACTAAGGATTTTTAATATTTTTCATCTGCCCTTGAAACAATATATTAGGAGCCTTCTATTAAATGTTCAAGCTTTCGCAACCAACAAATAAAATTTTATTGATATTTCTAGAAAAAAAACTAAAAAAAAACTAAAAATGAAAATGTCCCTAAACTGTTCAAAATAAATCAAAATATTTTGAAAATGTTATCGTGTATAGAAGATGCAAATATAAACAACCAGTGAAAATTGCATGTACCTACGGTCATTTGTTTTAAAGTTACACCAAAAACCAAATTCAATTTTCTGAAAAATCGATTTTGCGTAAAAATTCCCGTTTTTCCTTAATTTTTCTTTTGTTTTTCCCGGCGCTCTTGAAAACTACTGGGAAATTTAAATTTTGACCTCCCCAATGCACCAACGATATTCACTTTCCAATCGAACAAGATACTGAAGTCGAAAATCGAAGCATTATTTCGACTACTTATCGTGTACACAGACACAAAAAAAATAAAAAATAAAATAAAAAAAAAAATAAAAAAAAAAACACACATCATTGTAAAATCAATACATTCATCGTTTCACTCAGAATCTAAAACTGAAAATTGATAATGTCCGTAATCAGCTAAAAACAAGTTAAAATATTTTGAATATTTTATGGTGTATAGCAAATGCTAATATAAATGTTTAATAAAAATGTCATGTATCCGTGGTTATTGTTTTTAGAGTTGCGCCAAAAACCAAAATTCATTTTGTTAAAAACTGATTTTGGGTAAAAATTCTCGTTTGTCCTTAATTTTTAAGCTGTTTTTCCCGGCTCTTTAAAAAACTATTGGGAATTTTTACATCCCGAATGCACCAACTTAATTCACTTTCCCATCGAACAAGATACTGTTGAAAGAAAATCGAAGCAGTTTTACTGTCCCAAGCCGTGAAGATAGACACAAAAAAAAAAAAAAATTAAAAAAAAAACACTACACATCATAGTAAAATCAATATATTCATCGCTCTGCTCAGAATCTAAAAAAAATATCAATTTTGATGTATTTGTAATATTTGATAGGTTAAAACTGATTTGAAAATGGGTTTTTTTTTATCTAAAACGTACTGAAGAATTAAGTCAAAACGTCTTATTGTCATTTTGGCCCAAAACGTGCAATAATATATTATATGCAATCAAATTGTTGATCCAAAACGTGTCATTGCTGTATGTTTTTTAAAAAATGTCTTATTGCCAATGTTTTAAGTACAGGATGAAACAAAACTGCAATAGCACGTTTAGGATTATAGCCATACAATTTTAAATTTACTTAAAGACCATATTTTCAATATTTTCTGTAAGTTATTTCTATGGACATTTTTATATTTAGTTTCCGAGTGACGTTGAAGACTAGCCACATCCATTGACTTTTGAAATATTTTATTACATAATATAATACATTGAAGGGGGTTGGGAGTATATATTTGATGTTTATTGTTTACATTTATACTTGTGAAACCAAAAACTTTGTATTCTTCAGAAAACTTATGACAGTTATTAATAAGTGTTGATTTACTTTTAGAACACGAAGCGCCTTGATTTTGTTCGTTCATGGTGGAGTCGTCCTTTTCTAAACAGCGTTTCATTGTAAAAAAAAATTACACAATTAATTTAATTGAAATGTATAATCTGACGAACATGTACTTAATAAAAATAAATCGCAACTGAAACTGAACTACACAGGTCGACTGCAGTGACAATACTGATTACTGGCTAATGAACGCAATAATGGCTTTCGGCGGTCAATTATAATTGTTGTTTTTATCAGTGGCATATATACAAACTTATTATTTTTTTTTTTGGGAGGGGGGGGTATCATAATAGTGAAATAGTTGTATAAATTAGTATGAAAAGCTCTTTATTAACTTATTGCTTGATAAATCTGTACACTATGTTGGTACATCATTTTGAGTTACTTTTTCCTGTTGAACAGGTCAGACCTGTTCCTGTTATGCAAGAATATTATAATTTATAAATTTAGGATTTATTTTAAATATACCGATTTAATCAAATTAAATCAATGCGTAGGTAACAAATAGTTTAAATACAATAATAATACTGACCTTCACTGGCATCACTTCGTTTGAATTAAAATAAGAATCCAATGTTTTTAATTTTTCTTTTTACTCTGACCATTTCAGTACTCTTTCAATACTCTTAAAACGGTTTCAACTATTGTTAATAGTGTTAATAGTTTATATAATAGTTTTAAATGGAAATAAATTAATGAAATCGAACTAAATTAAATTTAAGATATAAGTATTTTATATTATTTCATAATGCCACGCTTAGACGCACAGTAAATACTAAATACTGACTGCCACGGATAGATTAAACATACATGATCCATGTACTTAATTTTAATTTTATTGTAAATAAAATAATTAAAAAAAAACAAAAATTCCCCTGATTGGAGGATGGGTGATTATACTGAAGAAAAATCGTGAACTTCAACTTTTAAACTAAACCGCCAATTGTGACTGTACCATTTTTCTTATATTCTTAACTCATTGAAATAGATTTAGGTTTCCAAAAAAATATCCATATTCCATCTAATTTGTTCGAGTGTATTTTTTTTAATAGCACCAAATTAGGAAAACCGTTGTTGAGCAAATGTAAAATGTAAAATGTAATAATAATAATAATAATAATAATAATAATAGCAATTTATTTTCAAAGTTGTGTTTATTCGAGAAGTTCCCTTTATAACAGAACGCTGTGTCATTATTTACGAACATGACACAGTATATACCTCCTTCGTGTATTGTTACGAAATTATATTGTTATAATAGCGTTGATAATTATTAGGAACCGGGGGTGAATCAAATGACAAATGAGCCAAGGTTTTAGTGAGTTGGGAATGGGCTTAAACACGTCGAGAAGATTTTGTAGTAAATAAACCTGTACTAGGGGATTCAAATTGTACGACTAAAATATTATTATTATGTACACGTGTATATTATTTATTCTGTCTAATATCACAGCGGTTCTTAACCTTTTGTAGATCGCGGACCCCTGATGAAAGATTTTTAGATATCGCGGACCCCCTTACCAATTTTTTTTACAAAACATCTAATGTTATCATAACCAAAATTATAATAATTATTTTATATTAATAATTACATAAGTAGACAACATAGCATACACATTTCCAATTATTTTTATTACAATTAATTTTTTATAAAAATGTAATATAAAACTATAATTGAGTACGATACTACGATAGATCAACTGCAATTATAGTGGTAGTAAATATAAGACTGTCGAGACTACAGTGCTGTACGTATGTACATTTCGTATGAATGATTACCTACTTAATAAATACTAATATTACAATTATTTGGTGTAGAATCTACATATTATATATGAAAAATAAAATAATAATCCAATAATATTGTAATAAGGCACTCTGTCACTTATTGATGTATGTTATGTGTTGAGGCTGCCACGGACCCCCGACATGAGTATCGCGGACCCCCAAGGGGCCCCGGACCACAGGTTAAGAACCGCTGTAATAGCAATAATGAACTGAATAGTTTAAAACTGCATGTATAGGTATTGAATCAATATGTTAATAATGTTATAATAAAATATTATAATAGTACTAGCTGACCCCATGCACTTCGTAGCCCTTAAAAAATGACAACCCTTTACAAAATTGTGATTGTTTAAATCCTTTTGAATATAACTCGCAGCAGTAAGTGCAATATTCAGCCACCCTGGTAGGCAATCCGACTACGTCGGATCGCGGACAATGTACGACAGCATATCAAGTAGATATGTATATCTTATATATAAAATAGTCGTGAGACATTGTTTGCTATTGAACTCCTCCGAAACGGCTTGACCGAATGTTCCAATTATTAGTATTACCTATGTAATTGGCTATGCTTTTCGTCCTAGTGTGAAAATAATTAAGTATTTTAAATCCGTTTTATTTATACTAGGTAGTAGGTACTATTATTATGTGTACATACCTCCATGTCTATTATTACCTATATGATACTTAAGTATTTGATGACATTTTTCATCATATCACCATAAGAAAATTTATAAAAGAAGTGTGGTAAATCTAAAAATTTCAATTTCATGCAACTCCAGATGAAAGATATTACAGTAAACTATCGTCATGTCAAAAATCAAGAGGAACAGATAAAAGTTCGAGATATCAAACATTTCAAGATATTGAATCTTATTGTAATCTTAATTATTTCAAGGAGTTTCCAATTGAGTGCGATATTATAGTTTATGTTGGAACGTAATAAAACACAAGTAAACAGGCGAGTTCACTGGCACTCTAAGGTCAACATTTTGACTTGAAAATTTTTTTGGTATTTTGTAACAATTTGTAACCATAAAAACATTTTGTAACCACACAGGTACCTTCCTCGGAAAACTCAGTTTAAGTTCCGGCTACCTGGGTAACGTTATCCCAGCACCCCAACAATTAAATAATAATTAAAATGTGGAGTTGAAAATGATTTGTCATTATTTTATATTTTATTATGTAATAATTTGTAACTACAAAAAGAAATGTTGACCTTTTTTCAGTTTATAGGTAAATGAAAAATCATGGTAAACGTCAGAGCCTCATGCGTTTTCAATATTATATAAACGCACGCATATTTTCTGGATCAAATAACAAAAAAAAAAAAAAAAACCGTTCACTAAAATTTTTATATATTGTGTATAATATACTATAATAAATGTTGGTAGGTGGGTAAACGTGCGCATAATATTATTTCGAATATCGTGCTTACAAGTATTTTACTATACAATGTACATAATATAGGTATAAAATATATCCATAGATATTTATTTAATATTACGTCACTTAATATATTTCACTTGTTATTTATTGACGTTCGATGGAAATGTGCAAACTGCGGGTCGATTCGACTGTGGAGAATTCGTTACGTTACAACGACCGGATATTTGAATAATACCGAAAACGAATAGTGTGTGCGTGTATACATAAATATGTATTTTTGTCGGGTAAACGAATATCATTGTTGGTCTCTGTGGCGGATTGGTGTGCGCGTTTGTGTGTGTGGCACGTAGGTAGAAATAGTCATAAACCTATAGGTATATTTCTACCGATCGGCGAGCTTCTGTAAAATATGTGGTTTGAGAGGAGTGGAAGTGTTCTTGCGTATAGAAAAAAGCAAATCACGCACGTGCCGGTGGCAAGCCACAACGGGCGGAGATTTAGTCGACTTTGTGGGGAGGGAGTTACATTTTTAAAACCAAGTTGACATTAAAATGATCGAATACATTTTAATAATCACATTCCCCTGCTATCAATGTCCTAAATATTGTTGTTACTTTTGTCTGAAATACTATACATATCATAAAAAAAAAAAAAAAAAATGGTGGAGACTCATTTGCGCACATATTAATATATTTTTTAAATTTACGACAACTCATTTGCGCACAAAATAGTAAACAATGAAAACCAGCTTTTAGGTACAGTTTTGGGTGTACAGGGTGTCTTAAGCTGTCCAACACGTTACACGTTCAATATTATTGATATCAATGATCACCCGTCATTGGAGTATCTTCAATATAGCCTTATATAGTCTTAAAGCATAACGTGATTTCACATCAGTTATTATCTATCAAAAATGGCATTAATACTCGCCAAGTACACTAGTCGTGTGGGACAAGCGTGTTGGTTCAGGCGTTTGAAAAAAAAAATAAAACATTACTAAAAGAATACTCAAAAAATGATTCGGAAATCGGAAGGTGGCTTAAATATTTTTTTGGTTTACCTTATCTAAACTCTGATGAAGTTCCGGACGCATTTACGGAGCTAATCTCAATAGCTCCTAGTAATATATTAAGTATGGATTTTCCGGACTATATTTAAAAAAAATATATTGATTTTGATGCTGATTTTGGGCCAGAATTATGGGCTAGTGCACCAGACGATAGCCCTAGAACAACAAACGGAGCTGAAAACTTTCATATGCACTTTAATAGCCAATTTTATACCCCCCACCCTCATATTCACCAAATCATACAAATACTCATGGAAATTCAAGTCGACACCGATTTAAAAATAAACTCATTAAAAAAAATAAGGAAAACACACGTAGGACAGAAATATTAACAAAACAAAATTTTTTGAAAAAAATATATTCAGATTACAAATCTAAAAAATTGATTTATAACCTATTTGATGCAAACGCGTACCAATAAATATTAAATATTATGTATTAACTGTAATTTATGTAGATTGTAAATTTTAATGACTTTTGTAAAAATTAATAATGATTGTACCTAATTTATTGTAATTTGTAAATTTTAATGACTTGTAAAAATAATTGTACCTAATTTATTGTAATTTGACAAAATTTTAATGACTTGTAAAAATGATTGTACCTAATTTATTGTAATTTGACAACATTTTGAATAATGTGTAATAGCTAAAACAACATTTTTAAGCCCACCAGTCTATAACATCAGAATATGATGAGACAGAAAGTCCTAAGCCTTTTAAAGGGTGAAGGAAAATGTTGTTTGAGTATAATAATTGTCCACTATCAGTATTGACCAAATCGAAAATATGGTGGTACGGAGATTA